ACGTAACAATATGTATTTGTTACTTTATAGATTTAATAGATATTTGTTGTTACTTTATTAACGTTTTTACACTTATACTGTGAGCTAAAATTATGAGCTTGTTGTTGTTGTCTTAATTTAGGATCTTCATTTTAATAAGTTCTTTAAAATGTTAAAAGGGAAAGGGGACCCGGCGATGATGTTTGCCCGGGTTCTGTGCTGGCTCTCGACGTTCCTGCCAGTAATAGATGAATAAACCAAAACCATTATTTACATCCTAAAACAATCACAATAGAGTGATTTCAGGTATTTGTTCTGTGTTTATAATACCTGTACCGTAGGTCCATAGCTTCATATCACCAGAGTAACATGTTATAGATATCACACCTTTAATGTTAGACAGCTTAAAATTAACAGCTACATTTATTCATATTCGTAATAGAGTAGTTGGTTCTCAGCATGTTGAATTAGCTCTGTATATACTTTATAATAAAACTCAAGATATTTTATAAACACTAGATGAGAGCTGGTGAGTCACACCTTCGTTTTCTATCACTTTCAACACAAGAACGTGATCCTATTTACAACGTAGTTTAGGTCAATAACCACGACAGATGGTCAAGGGCATCCGCAGGGGGGGGGGGGGAGCAAGAGTCTGGAAAAATGAAAAATATAATTATTTCTTTATTCATTCAGCATATGTGTATGAATTTTTTTATTCAATTCACAATTTCACACTATTTTGCCCCCCTCCCCAGAATACTTTGCCCCTCCCTGGAGTGTCTAAAATACTTGACGTCAATACATATTTTACTTTTCAACATAAAGGAATGTGTTCAAAGTTAGATATTTAGTTTGTTTTAAATTTCGCGCAAAGAACCAGGAGGGCTATCTGCGCTAGCCGTCCCTAATTTAGCAGTGGTAGGCTAGAGGGAAGGCAGCTAAACAACAACACCCACCGTCAACTCTTGGGATACTCGTTTACCATCAAACAGTGGGATTGGCTGTCACATTATAATGAGCATATTCGGCGACAGGGATTCGAGTACGCGACCCATAGATTGTGACTTGAGTGCCCTAACCACGAGGCCATGCCAGACCCTCAGAGTTAAAGATTTATTATCAAATGAATATTACGAAATTCTAGAGTTGTGCTGAAATATTTTGCACTTTCCCATACAATATCATTTACACTCAAGTATCTTATAAAGTTCATGTTTAAACGTTGATCCGGTTGTAAATTGTATATCAGTTTATAGCTGATAAACGAAATGACCTTTAATAGTCACCGAACGGATTGTTTATTTACAAGTTAGGTTTTTCATCATCTCAGTTTTACCAAATTAATTAAGGGTATAACTGATGATAATCTACAAAAATAATGGTATTATTACCAATATAAAATATTTCAGAAAATATCTTTCTTACCACTAACACTACCTTACCCACTGCATAAATTACTTCATTATTTTGTTATTTCTTTCCTAATTAAAGAAAAACACAAATCTCAAAAACTGTTTAAGATATCTGTCTTCTAGTTTACTGTGTTGTTTCTCCTTGTCCTCGTGTTGGGACGATGTTGTAGATCAGTGATTCCCAAACTTTCTCAACATAAGTGTCACCCCCTAAAAATCGTATTCTGACTGGAACCCCCCACCCATTGAATATATAGATACTGCCCCTAGTTTGGGATCCCCTAACTTTGGGTAATATGAAGAATCAATAGCCAAAAGCCTCGTAACCTGATGTGTTGCCGCGAGTATTTGTAAAGAAGAAAATAAGGGTTAATGTTCTAGCGG